AAGATTACCAATGCCTGTAGACTTTGATCTGTGTTATCTCTTTTCCTGACAAAACACGCCTGTAAAGTGGGGCAATGTGATAACCCCATTTCACATGCGGAAGCTGAGACGCAGGGTGGTTCTCAGGGGCTTGAGACCACCAATAAGTGACACAACTGGGAAGTGACGCAGACTCATAACTCACTGGCAAGAGTATGGTTTGTAATCCATGAAAGTCTGTCCATCAGTTGGAGGACCGTAACTTTCACACAATGTAATATGACGCAGTCTTTTTAAGAACAAGGAAGCTCTCCGTGCACTGGTAATCAACAGTCTCTCGCTGCTTATAAAGAAGCAAGGTGTGACTCAGGGAGACCAGGAAGAATTGTATGTAGAGCATGCCAATATTTGTTCCCACAAGTGTGTGAACATTGGGACTGCAAACGATATCTTTTGGGGAAAAATCATGATCCTTCATTACATGGTCATGTCTGGGACCTGGATGGCTCATAACAGGCCCAGGAGGAAAATTATCTTTTCCCTATATATACTTGCACCTTTTTTAAAAAAAAGTGTATTTTTAATTTTTTAAAATATATTTTTATTGACTTCAGAGAGAAAGAGAGAGGGAGAGAGAGATAGAAACATCAATGATGAGAGAGAATCATTGATCAGTTGCCTCCTGCATGCCCCACATTGGGGATCAAGGACACAACCTGGGCATGTGCTCTGACCGGGAATTGAATCATGACCTCCCAGTTTATAGATCGATGCTCAACCACTGAACCACACCAGTCAGGCTATACTTATACCTTTTAGATATTAAATCCTATGACTATATTACTTATTTACACAACAAATTAAATATAATTTTAAATAATAATATCCTAAGAGGATGCTGATATAAGACAAATGCAAAAGCTAGCAATGGTCCACAAAAATTACTTTTTAAATCATCATAGCTATTCAGGCATCCTGACAAAAGTAGGTGAAGGGAGCTCCAGGCTCCCATTGCCCTATAAAACGTGCTCACCTGGACAGTGAACTCCTAT